CCCGCCGCATCCTGCCGGGCACCTGTGGCTTCTCCTCATTTGCGCCCAGCGGCTTTGACGGCCGTCAGGCGTCGGCCGCCGCGAACGCCGCCGCAAACGCCGGCCTGGGCGGCGGCGGCGGCTACTACGGCCCCTCCAGCAATGCGCGCGCGACCGCCTCGGCCCAGGCCGGGGCGGCGGGCGCAGGCGTGGGCGGCCGCCCCGGCCTGCTGGGGGGTGTGCTTGGCGGCGTTGGGGGTGTTTTGGGCGGCGTGGGCGGCGTCCTCGACGGCGTGCTGGGACACTGAATTGGCAGCCAGGTGCTGCGATGATGCGGTGGAATCCTTATACATGAATGGGGGCATCTTGTCTCCTGTGAGGAGGGTGCCCCACAACGCATGCTTCGTCAACCTTGCGTGTGAATCGGGCTTTTTTCGCGGCGCACCGCACAGGCGCGCCGGCGCGCCGCTCCATGTTTCTGCCTTTTCGCGTGGGTGGCGTGTGTTGAACTATGACGCGTGCCCAGGCATTTGGCGGCATTGGCCTGCTCGACCACGGCGCCGGCAGCGCGTTGCCGCATTCCTCCTGAAATCTTGCACACCTGTGTGCGCACAGCACTGAGTGCTCAGTGGCTCGCCTGGGCAACAATTCCTCGCTTCTTGTTGCACTGCCTCGGTCCTGCCAGCCTGCTGGCTGCCTTATGTGTGTTATTGTTTTTTGACCTGCTAAACCATCAGGATTGTGCGTGCTTTTCTACATCTGCGACCTCAAGCGGCCCGGTCAACGGCGCTGCGACTGCCGTGCTGTTGACACTGCGCTCTGTGGCGCAACAATTGCTTGCGTTGTGGTTTGAGATGTGATGGCATAGGCTCAATTGAAAGCATCCCACCCTGTAAGAGCTTGCAACGCTGTGCATTTTCCCCGTACACCAGCATCAGCTGCACTCAGCGCAAATCCGGCTGCCCCACACACAAAATGACCCCCGACTGCCAAGCGCTATTTTCAAGTGGGTGTCAGCCTGGCCGCTTTCCCACTCCCCTGCTCCACCACCTTGCTGATCCTAATTGCTCGTCTTGCCTCATCTTGCTACTGATGATATTGATTCGTCACATCGCTGGCCGCGCCACACGCCCACGACCCGCGAAGGACTGTTGGGCAGCATATTACACGGGGCCGCGCCCGGCAGCAATGACTGCGGTCCAGCCCTGTCAGTCCGCGGCGCGATCAGTCCACGACGGTCAGCCCCATGTTGCGCGCGGTGCCCTCCACCATGCGCATGACAGAGTCCACCTTGGTGGCGTTGGTGTCGGGAAGCTTCTTCTTGGCGATCTCCTCCACCTGCGCGCGGGTCACCTGGCCGACCTTCTCCGCGTTGGGCTTGCCGCTGCCGCTCTGGATGCCTGCGGGGCGCGATGCGGACGGTCACAGCCGCCGGTTTGCGGGTTGAGTGAGCGGCACGAGGACAGGGTCCGCGCTGGTGCGCCAGGGGAAGCAGGAGGGGAGACGGCACGGCAGACGCGCTCAGGTGCCGCAGGCGCGTTAGGGCGCCCACCTGCCGCCTTCTTCAGGAGGATGGCCGCCGGGGGGGTCTTCAAGATGAAAGTGAACGACCGGTCCTGATTGGGTGTACGACATCCGCCGGGGTTCAGGCAAGCAATGGGGGCGTCAGCCGGAGCGGTTCGAGGCGGGCCAAAAGATTTGACACACAGCTGTCGCGGGCTTCCCGCTTGGACGCGCTGCTGTTTGCACACGCTTGATCTGCTGATGCAACAGCTGCTCGTGCTTGCACTCAGGCGATGTGCCTGCGGCCGCGGCCGGCCGCCGCTGGCCGCCGGCTGCCCCTGAGGCTGTCGCCGCCGTGACGCCATCGCATGCCGGCGCAACAACCGCAGCGCTCGTCGCGCCGCCGCAGCGGCCCTCCAGTGTGCCCTATCTCTGCCGCCGCTGCACCGCCGGCAACTCCTGAACTGATCTGATTTATTTCATTATCCAGCCCGTCCCTCACTGTGCCCTGCACAGCTCCCCGGCCACCCGCTGCGGTGCCCCCGCACCTCGTAGACGGTGATCTCCACTGGGATGACATCACCGGCCATCTTGGCGGTCGCCGCGTTGTACTCCTTGCAGAAAGCCATGATGTTCACACCCTGGGTGATTCAAACCAGGAGGACCGAAAGAAGCGGCGTCGGCTTGTGAGTTGCTGCTGCTGCTGCCGCTATTGCTGCCGCAGACCGCTGAGGGAGGCGCTGCAATTGTTCCTTGCTTGCTCAATCCCTCATGTTCCTGTAGCAACCACTGCACACAAACACCCCCCATCTGTGCGGGCTGCATGTGTGCCTGAGCCGCTTCGGACAGCGGCCGCCGCACACCTTGGAACCGAGCGCAGGGCCGACCGGCGGCGCGGGGTTGGCCTTGCCCGCCTGCAGCTCCAGCTTGATTTTACCGGTCACTGCAATATTCAAAAGGAGCGAACGCAAACGGAATTAGCCACGTCGTGTGCATTGACACTCCACACAAGACGGCCCTCGCCACGGGCTGCAGGCGCCAATGGCTCACCCTTCGCTGCGTTGGTGATAACCAGCGTGTTCCGCCGCGACGTCATGCGAGGCCGCTGCGTGCTGAAGGCCCGGCTGCTGCTCATCAGGGACGCCATGGTTGCTGCTGCAAGCCCGCTCCACACGACTGGCTCCCTATTTGCGTTATCAGGCGACGCAATGCGAGCTACGATTGATGCTGGCGTCAATGGTACTACTGAGCGGCCACCCACTGTGATGGCTGTCAACGGGACACTGGCAGCCAGTGCGTCGATAGAAGCGAAGGCCAACGCGTACAACTCCTGGAGTAAAGTCAGTCCGCTTGTATGATCGCATCTCTTCGCTTGCAGCTGTCTTGCACAGCCATCCATGGAGGTGGTGTTTCAAGGGCGGTGTCAGAAGGCGCATTGTCGACCTTGATGACTTCAACCATGCACCAGGAAGTTTGCACCTGTATCACCAGCCCAATGAGCGGCCAGATAACGTCAAGAAAATTCCCCGTGTCATCAGTGCATCTATCACCCTCGTCAGATGCGTGGTCTGTGCATCGGCTATGGGGCACATGATCCGTCGTCCATGGCAGAACTGCAGTCCGCCGCCACAACCTCAAGCCAAAGTGTTCCTCACAAGACACAAAACCAGCATGTCGGCAGAGGGTGAGACAGCCCCAGATAAAGAGATTTGTCGCTTATCAAATATTGGCGTCTTCAAGCATAGGACTGGGGCTGCTGCCTACCACATATCACACATACCTCGCAACACAGGTCCTGCACCCATCCTGCAGACGGGCTCCCCTGGTGGCGCCACCTTCACGGTGTGGCAGCATTGCAACACCGCATCCCTTGAACTGTTGCAAGATTAAGCCGCTGCTGCCTTGACAGCAGCGCTCACGCACATGAGATGCATGCGCAGCGGGTCATGATTGCTGCGTTCATGAGCCCGAGCAGCAGGAGCAGAAGGGTCATGCCCGCCGTGCACGTGTCAATGAGACATAGGAGCGAAGGGTCTGAGGGTTGCATATGATGGGGTGAGCGGTACGACAGTGCTCAAGTTGTTGAATGCAGTCACATGCCTGATGGCACGCATTAGCGGAGTCCCACCGCACATCACCTGGCTGCAGCGGCATGTGGCAGGACAAGCGAACACGACATGCCTCCTCCCTTGTGATAATGTACACACTTTTCAAACAGGTCTATGGCCGGGGCAGCCTGCTGCGACCCGGACGCCTGCTGCCCGTTTTGGGGCGTCATGCCACTACCCGAGGCAGTGCCATGACACATTTTCATGCACACTGGCTCAGCGTGTAGCAGCGCGGCAAGCCGCACCGCCTAACGGCTGGATCAGCGAGGCTTCTTGTGTGTGTATGGGTGGGGGGGATCACTGGAAAAAAGACAAAAAAGGAAGAGCACCCCATGCCTCATTTAATGCATCAACACGCGGCCGCATCTTATTCCGATGCTCTTCAGCCAGCTCCTTGGTGGGCTTGCGCTTCTGCCCCACCACAGACTGTGCCACCATGTGTGCCGCCTCCTTGAGCTCGCTGCTGACCTCCTCGCGCCCGCCGCTACCGCCACCACACCCTCCTCATCGCCGCCCCGTCCTCAGTGCGCCGGGGGCCCATGTATCCCCTGCCCCACCCCTGCCGATTCATTTTGCGCGTCTCCCCCATTCCTACCCTTTGCGGTGGCCCGTGCCAGGCCGACGGGTTTATAATCCGCGCCGTTCCCCATCCGCCGCTGTCGCCACCCCGGGTGGGCGGTCTCGGGCAAGGAAGTCGGATTCCTCCAGGGGTTCACACTGCAGCCGCTGGTTCTCTGCACAACTGGTGAACTGTGATTTCCGTTCCAGCGCTGAGTTCCTCAACATGCGCTAGCTGATCGTGATCATAGGGATCAGTCATGCACAAATCGGACAGTCTGGCGAGGCAAGCCACGCGGGCGATCAGGCTCTGCTGGGCCCCAATGTTGGAGAAGAGACGCATAAGAGAAATCACCGAAGTAGCATGCACGCATTGAGGCATAGGCAAATCCTGGAACCGCGAATGTGACTGCTCACTTGCTCGCCTTAGCTACAGCGAGGTAATCCCCTCCTGAGGCACTTGACTCATCGGAAGACTCGCTTAGCGCCCGCTGTTTGGCAATGGAAATATCAGTCTGACGCATCTATAAGCTTGTATTTATGTCGTTCAGATCACCCCAGTGTTTCCCGTCTAGAGCTGCCGTCTTGAACCGACGCGAGGTCCTTCGAGAATTTCATCCTGGCCTTTTCGGCCACCCTTGCCTGTGAGCTGCGCTGCAGCCATTTTGGGAGGAGGCTGAGGGGCCCAGTTGCTTCGAGGTGCGTGCGCTGGCTCGGGCCACGCTTGGCACAGCTGGCGCGCCACCTGCGGCACCAGCACCAGCCGCTGCCAGCTGCACTCAGTGCCTGCTAAGAGGCGCAGTGCTGCCCCGCCTGATGCTGGTTTCATCGCCATTCTGGTTACGATGCCAGGTCAAGCGTGCAGGCATCACGTGCTGCCTGCCACACTATGCTCTCGCACGCAATCGCCGATGCAGCGTGCGCAGGTCCTGGTCTCCATGGATGCGCCGACTTCACGGCTGCAGCTGTTGCAGACCTTGCATGAGCTGTTCCCAGGCGATGTCAACGCCGTGTTCCGTGCCGACGCGGCAGCGGCTATCGACAAGATGTCCACGGACTGGTCTGCCGCTCTGCTGGGCATGCCGGTCGGCGATCGGAAGCTGGCCATCAAGGCAGCTGTCCGGGGTGAGTGGGCCTCTTGGCATACGCTGACGCGGCGCAGCAACCGCACAGTGTGCCTCATGTATTCAAAAGTCCTTGAGGGTGCTAAGTGGCAGTTGGAGGTGGTTCCAGTGGTGCTGCTGTGATGCCGAGAGGGTGCCACGTGTTCGCATGGGCTTGACAGCAGACACTGCCGTTCTGCTGCTGCTGCCATTCACCTCTCCCTCATGCCGCTCTCCTCCATGCACGCTATGCACTACGACCTGCCGGCTCCTTCTCATGGTATCCTCGATCCCGTCACTGCTGTCCGTGCACTGCAGGTGATTGCCATCCATCATATAGCTTGCCTTGCTTGCTGGCTGTGCTACGCATGCAGCCTGCTTTTCAGGCTGCCACTGTGGAGTGCAGCCTGTGCGTGCGCATCATTTACGCCACCTGAATGCCCGCGCTGACACTGCCCGCACACCTGCTGCTCTGCATCACCGCCCGTTGCATCTCGTCTCTTTCCACCTGCTGGCTCTCCTCACATTCAACATGCCCCTTTGATTCGCATCCGTCCTCATGGCTTGTGCCCGCTGCTCTGCGAAGGATCCAGAACAGGAGGTGAGTTGCTGCAGGTTTATGTGATGTTGCTTGTGGCCATCCTGCTGATCCTGCACCCCCCAGCTGCTCCTTGTGGTGGTCCAGTCTGCCGGCGCCCTGCGGAATTGTGCCGCGTGCTTTGATGCGTGCCATGCCCCTGCCGTCGCATGTACCTTGATGGTCCTCGCCCGGGCATCTTACATCATCCCACAGCAGCAACAGGTGACATGCCTCAGATCAGTGCTGTGATGTGGGATGGAAAAGGCTGCTGTGCGATAGGGAAGGCTTCAGCACGCATTTGCCCAATCAGCGGGCAGATGGTAAGCCCGATGACAGCAGCAGGGATCCTACCCCTTGGCACTGTCGCCTCTGTCCTCGCTTTGCAGCCTTTTCTTGACCAACGGGTCCCTCAATTGTGACTGTCGGGTCATGCCGATCTGTAGATCACGTCGAGTCGGATGCTTGGCGGGACATGATGCAGCGGCTCAACAAGTGGTCTGATGACATGGTGAGCTGATCGCACTGCGGCACTGCCAGGCAGTTTCTGCTTGACTTATCTCGAAGCATCAGATAGGAGGCTGGCATGCTTGGTCATTTTTCCTAGCAGCAGATTAGCGGGTTTCAGACATGCATGGTTAATGCAACTGCTGCCTGTGCTCCTGTGTAGGCGGAGAAGGCGACATGGTACTGGTTGGAGCCACCTGGGCGCCGAGTTGCTGTGAAGAAGGATTCATGACAGTTGTTGGTCCTGATGGCAGCTGCGGAGTTGGCAGTGCTTGTGGCGCTTGCATGTTGGCAAGCCTGCAGGCCTCAATGGAGGGCCTTCTGCTACATCGTGGCGTTGGCAGCCTTCGGTGGCCTCAGAGTGTTCATGCTGCGCTGGGAATTGAGTGGAGTTTAATTCCCTGCACTAAGCCTGGCCGCTGCTGTTGAAAGTGCGCTGCAAGCAGCAGGCGTCTTGCAGCAGCAGCGGCGACAGCAGCAGCGACAGCAGGAGCAGCAGCAACAACAACAGCAGCAGCAACAACAACAGCAGCAGCAACAGGCACAGCCAGCTCCATCTCTGACAAGAGGTCTTCTCATGTGGTGGTTGGGTGCACTGGCATGATTGTGGTGCATGGCAAACATGTGCGCTGCGGCCACGGTTGGACAGTTCGCTTTTTTGTGGGTGCGTGTTGCGGGCATGTGCTCATGTGCCCTGGCAGAGTGCTGAAAGGGGCGAGGCAGCAAGGCAGCAGTGACGCGCTGGAGGCGGGGAGCTGTGCACAGGGTGCCGAGGGAGCTAGCACCTGTTCTTGTAGTGTTTGATGTTTGGTTTACATGTCGTTTTTGTATGATGTTTTGTGCCATCCGTCTGTTGTCACCTGAGAAACAAGCAGACATTTGCTTCGTTCCAGTTTGACTTTTGATTTGGTTCAGTTTTGGCTGCTTGTTCTCGAGCTCGTCGCGTACAACGTGCCTTGGCAGCCGCCTTCCTTCCTTCAGACAAAAGATCTCCAGGAAGCGTGGGTTGAGCAGAGAAACAAGCGGCTGTACTGTGGACATCGATCGGGCACCTTGCATCGGTGCCGCCACCCTTGCCTGGGGCTGGCCGAACAGCAACTGAATCGGCTCCTGAGGCTCGATGCTCAGCGAGCACAGGTGGTGGGGCGACGGAGTACTGGTACCAAAAATGCCCTTGAAAATGATGGTGCAACGAAGGAAGTAGAAGGGCCCAGCACAATGTGGGGGCTGGGGGTTCAAAATGGGCCGTACGGTACATCTGTTGTACGTCACTTGGGCACCCGGCTGGACAGGCATTTAGCGGCAGGCGTTGTCGAGCTGCGGCTGGCCCGGAACTGCGGCAGTGCGTGGAGCATTGAATTCACTTAGGGGTTCCGAGGCGCAACGGACCCGTGACCACTTGATGGTGGTGATTGTGCAAGTGTCTGAACTTCAAGCCCTGCTCGGGCAGCTGCTGCTGCTGGTTCATTGCATTGCGTTCTGTTGACATCTGCGAAGCTGGTATGGAGGCTGATGTGCACTTGGGAGTCTTCAGTGTTGCCCTTTTCTGCGGGCCACGCACCACCAGCTGTGCACGGCGCAAGCAGCACTGGGACTGTGCACCTTCTGCGATCAAGACCCGTCGGATGCCCATGCACCCCAGCACCGCTTGCCGGCTCAGCGCTACACTTTCATTGTTACATCGTGTATCATCAAGCCGCAGGACCCGCCAAGAGCCCTCGTGCGTGCTCAAGACGGGGCCCTCTCGTCCTCGTCCTTGGACAAGCTCTTTCTGAGGGCGAGCCCCGGCCCGCTGATCCGCCGCCCTGCAACGTCGGCCACCGCAGCGTCCGGCCCCATCAGGGCTGCCGGCGCCGCGCCGGGGCTGTGCCGCCTGTGCTGCCGCTCGTGCTCGCCCGCCGCCGCGCCTGCCGCGCCTGCCGCGCCTGCCGCGCCTGCCGCGCCTGCTGCACCGCCGCCGCCGCCGCTGCTGACCCGGGCCGCCGACCTCGGGAGGGCGTGCCGCGGCGTGACCTTGGCGCCTTCGCCGCCTGCGACAGCAGCCGCGGCCGCTGCTGTTGGCGGCGAGTGCGACGGGTCGTGCAGCCGCTGCGTTCGCCTCAGCCTCTCCAGGATGGACTTGAAGCTTGGCCGCTGGTCTGGATCGAACGCCGTGCAGTCCGTCACCAGCTGCTGCAGCGCCTCGAGCGCACGGCGGTCCGCGTCACCTGAGTGCAGGAGTGACGTGGGGGAGAGGCATCGGTTGTGTGGTGAGTGTGAAACGCACAATATAGTTGCGCTTGCAATTATTACGTTCAGGGCACAGCACGATCGCGCGTGCTGTTCTAGTCACTCTCGGCTGACGCCCACCCTCACAGGTCGCATCGCCTAGCATTTCGGCCAACAAGCGGGGGAGCGTCCGGCCACTCACCTGCGCCATCTGGCACGGTGAGCGGCGGCAGCGCCATCATGGCCGGGTTGGCGATCCACTGGGCGCAGATGAGGAGGCCGTCGACGCCGTCGAAGCGGCGGCGGCGCTCTAGGGCCTCCCAGAGGGTGACGCCGAAGGAGTAAACGTCGGCCTAAGCGTTGGATTTGGGGTTGCCGGTTTTGGCACACGAATCTGGGCGATTGCTATGACGACCTTTAAGTACTTGCTGGTGGGGTCTCGCTGACGTCAACCCATTCACTGGCGCGCACACCAACCCGTTCACGCACTCGCCCACGCCAGAACAAACACAAACCCTCTCCTTTACATGCATGCGTGCACGCGCTCGCACCTTCAGGATCCGCTCCACCGGTGCATCATCCTGCTGCAGCTGCTCGTCAAGCAGCTCCGGCGCTGAGTAAACACACGTCCCCACCACCCCAGGCGTCAGTGTCCGCGCCGGCTGCCGCCCCCCTGCCGCCCCGCCGCCGCTCCCGCCCCCGCTCCCGCTCCTGCCGCCCCCGCCGCTGCTGCTGCCGCCGCCGCTGCCGCTGCCGCTGCCGCCGCGCTTCGCTCGGGCTGCGCCGGGCGCGCCCGGGGCGCCAGCGGGCACCTCAGGGGGCGGGAAGACGTGGCGGCTCATCCCAAAGTCTCCAATCTTCATGACGCCGCCGTGGCCCACAAACACATTTCCTGCGGGTTCAATTCGCAGCAGGCCGTTGCGTTTCAAGGCTTTACCAGGTCATGCGGCAGGCGGCAAGATGCGCACGCTGCTGCGTCACTGGTTTCAATATCTGGATCGCGGCACATGCGTTGCGACTGAAAGGCGAGGAGTTGCGTGGCCCTGCTCCGCATGGGAGCACCCACCTGGCTTGAGGTCGCGGTGCAGTATGGGCGGCCGCCGCGAGTGCAGGTGCATCATGCCCCTCGCGACGCCGCGCGCCAGCGGCAGCACCTTTGACAGGTCAGCCGCCGCGGGCCCCCGCTGGCCGCGGCCGCCGCCCCCGCCGGCGTGCGCGAGGCTGCTGCTGTGGTGCAGCAGGGTGTCGAGTGTGCCCCTGCCGCAGTACTCGAGCACCAGCAGCCACGTGCCGTCGTCCTGCCGAGTGGGGACGCAGAAGATGAGCACTACTTGGACATACTGTTTGACTTGGCTTGTACAGGCCAGCAGCAGAAATTTGTTGAGATTGCAAACAGCTGCAGAGATGTTTGCACATTTCTTATTGATCACCCTCTCGAATTGGATTCAGGTCCTGGAGTGCGTGCAGCGCGTGGCTCAGGGCCCCCCTGTAACACATCAAGGGCAGCAGACCAGAGCATGCACCCGCGCACCTTCTGGCTGAGGCCCCGCAGGCCGACCACATTGTCATGCGCCCCCACCGACAAGTAGATCTCCACTTCGTCTAGACTGGGGCGCTCCTTGACCGCCACAGGCGCGTCCTGGTGTGAAGGGCGCAGCGGGTGGCGAATGATCAGGTTACCACTCCAGCTGTGCAGGGCTGCAACACTTGCACGCATGGTGAGAACCATGGTTTTATTCAAGCCGCCAACAGAGCCACTGTGGCAGTGAGGCTTGTCATGCACGCCTCACGAAGCCGCGCGGTCGCTCTGCGCAATCGCGCCCACCCCCGCCCACCTGATAGCGGGCCTCGTAAACCGCCCCCTCCGCGCCGCGCCCGAGGCAGCGGCCGATGAGCAGATCCCTGTGGTTGATGATCTCAACAGGCACCGCCGGCGCAAACCCCAGCCCCACCCCCCGCCGCTGCGTCCCGAACACGAGCCCGCCGGCGCCGCTCAGCGCGCCACCCAGGGAGCGGCCTGGGCCAGGCACGCGCCCGGCGCCCGCGCTCCCGGTCGCGGCGCCGCCGCTGCTGGGGGGCCCCATGGGCGTGATGAGGCCGTTCGAGTAGTTGCTGCGGTGCGTTCGGGCCGTGTCGGGCGAACCTTCGACAAAGTACGAAGCCAGGCTGCCGGGGGTGTTGGCGGATGAAGGCGATTGCACCACATAACCGTCGCCGTGGGCTGCGCTGCCAAACTGGCCTGGTCAGGGGCGGATGGGTGGGGGCTTGGTCAGAGATGGGGTGGCAAGGACGCAGCTATGCAAAGTGATGATGAGGAGTGAAGAATCAGGAAGTCAGGTGGTCAGTACTTGAGAGGCAAATGAGCAATGTTTGCAAGCAGCTAAGCCACAGCTGACTCGCACATGGGGTAAGGGAGCTGTTGAAAAGATAAGCAGAAGCGCAGCGCCGGCTCACCTGTGGACCAGTGGCCGCTCCCATCCAGCTGGATGGAGTGCGCTGAGCTGGCGCGCCTGTGGCCCGGGAGCCGCAGCTGCAGGTGGCGCGGGCTGCCGCACCCCAAACCACCGCCAAACCCGCCGCCGCTGCCGCCGCCGTGCAGCACAGCTGATAGGCCGTAAGCGCCGCTGCCAGCCGTCCCTAGCAGCAGGCTGGAGTCACCGCGCTGCAGGGGCGACATGCCAAATGGGCCGTGGCACGCCGCGCCGCCGGGCGCTCCCGCTCCTGCACCGCCTGCCACAGCCTGGTGGTATGCTCCCGCAAAGCTCAGGCCGCCGCTTGCAGCAGCCCCGCCGCCGCCGCCGCTGCTGCGCGGCCGCGTCCCTGAGGAGTGCCCGCCCCCGGTGCTGCCCCTGGGGGCTGTTGCTGGCACAGCGGTCCCGCCAGCTGCTGGGCTGGCACCTGTCTGCCTTTCCAGCTGCCCTTGCTGCCACAGCTGAGGCGGCTGCCCGGCTTCCCCCGGTGCTGCGCATCCGCCCTCTGCCTCTTCATACGCCTCTGATTCCAAAAGGGCCGGCAGCACCGCCCCATGCTGCAGCGACGCAAACGGCGCCGCTTTGGCCGCCGCAACGCCGCTGCTAGCGCGTCGCACGTGATGCCACCCGTCCCCCCATGGCATGTGCGGCAGTGGTGGCAGAGCCGAGCCGCCACTGCTGCTGCGCAGCAGCGGTGGCCTAGGGTAGCCCGCGCTTGCTCTGCTGCCGCCGCCATCGTCGCCATTTCTGATGCCGACGCCCTCTTCGCCTGGGATATCCGCTGTCGCAACGCGCAGGCTTTGGGGATCGTGCTGCTGCTGCTGCTGCTGCTGCTGCTGCGGCTGCGGCGGCTGCGGTGCTGTTGCTGCGGTGCTGCTACTGCGATGTGGGCTATCAAGGGCTTGCTCCTGCTGCTGCTGCTGCTGTGCCCGTGCTTGCGCCGCACCCGTCCCTGGCCCCACCACCATGCCTGTCCCCTGCCAAGTTTCCACCGGTGTCTGCCGTAGCTCGCCCTCTGCCCCCAAGCGCTGTGCGAGGCCAGCGGTTCCTGTCGCTGCGGCCAGCGCCACCACGGAGGCGTCCATGCCAGGCGCAGGGTCTTCAATCTCCCCAATGGTTGTCCAAGAAGTCGTCGTGGAGCGCCGCGTCCACCCGTCGCTCAGCATGCTTGCGCGGCCCTGCGTGCTGAAGCTGCCCATTGTGCGTGCGAATGACTGTTTGCGCTCGAAGCTGCAACGTTCCGCTGGGGCCGGCGCCGCTAGCTGCTGCTGCTGCTGCTGCTGCTGCTGCTGCTGCTGCTGCTGCTGCTGCTGCTGCTGCTGCTGCTGCTGCTGCTGCTGCTGCTGTGCGTGCTGGGGCGCGGCCGAGGCGGATGTGATAGTGTGCGGGCCGAGGGGCGCGGGATGGGCGTCGAGGAAGCTAGGCCTACGGCTGTGCGCCAAGAAGCTTCCATCTAGTCCAAAGGTTGCCGATGAGAAGCTGCCTAGGGTGACGCTGCCAAGGGTAAAGCTGCTGTGTGCGGTCAGGGCGCCGGCGCTGTCGCTGACGCTATCAGCATCGCGACTGGCCCGCAGGTTTGGCGGCCGTGTGCTGCCGGCTTGCAGGGCCCCAATTTGAGTACAGGCCTGCCCAAACGAGACGTGATGGCGGGCTGCGCCGGCAAAGTCCCCGACACGGATTGCCGCCGACTCGTCTGTGGTGGCTGCAGCTGGCCCGCCTGCCACAGGACCCGCCTGGAAGCTGATAGAAGTTGCTGCGCTGGCGGTGCTCTCGCCTGCGCGCTGCAGTGGAAGGGACCAGCTGTGACTACCTCCGCCGCCGACGCCGCCCCCAAAGCTGACCGCGCTCTGAACAGTTATTGTGTCTGCTGCAGATCCCGCGTCCACCGCGTCCACCACGCCTGCAGCAGAGTTGCTGCCGGTTGGGTGTCCAGCAGCGTGTGCCGAACCACATATCGCCGCCTCCACAGCAGCAAAGGAAATGGGCAGCGGCAGGTGGCCCGGCGCGCTGTTTGCGCGGGGCATGGGCGTGAACGCCTCACGTAACATCTCCTGACGCTCTTGCCCCGCAGGCGCCTTGCGGTTCGCCATACCGCCGGCGCTGTGCGGCACGCCGTCCTGCGCTGCCTGCTCCCCAACGCCCGCCAGGCTGATGCTAATGTTGCCACTCAGATCGCTTCTCTGCTCACCAAGCGCCGTCGCGCCATGTGTTGGGCATCCAATCCTACTACGCACGCCGTCGCCGCCGCCTCCGCTGAGTCCGCCGCTCTCGCCGCTCGCGCTGCGACTGGAGCCGTCCGCGGCGGCGCGAGAGCGGGCGTGTCGCGCCTTGAGCAGTTCGCTGCCCCCGCTGCCGTCGAGTTCGATGCTGTTGGCCCCGTCAAGCCCCGCGATCGCGCGGGGCGACAGCTGCTGGCCGTTGCTAATCATCATTATGGATTTCACGTTCTTCGTGAACCCGCCGCCGCTGAGCCTGTTGCCTTGACCGCCCAACAGCCTGCTGCCATCTGCGGAACGGAGGGCAGCCAGCTCGTTCTCCTGGGACGGGACACCGCAACCGCCACCCAAACCTGTATTTGCATTTGCTGTCGCCTCGCCGGCATTGCTGTAGCCAGCGCTCTGTGCAGCGGAGGTGACCGCCGCTGACCGCGCCCGCAGCTCGTGGCCCATTGCGTTTGCGAGCTCCTGCGCCAGCGCCGGCATCCCAGCGGTCACCCAAGCGCTCCCGCCCGTCCGCGGCCGCCCTGCTGCCCGCCACTCGCAGGTGCCGCTGCCGGCTGTTGTGGGGCTGGAGTCGCATAGGCCCTGCTGGCTTGCACACGACAGCGGTGCAGACAAGAGCTTGTGGATTGCTGCCGCATCGATGACCGCCACTGCTTTACCCCTAGCCTGACAGATTTCACCCCCACCATCGCTGCTGCTGCTGCCGCTGGATGCGCCGCTGTCGCCCGCCTCCGCCAGCGTGTGCACGACCTTCGCCGCTGGCGCCAGTCCGCCGCCCTTTGACCCTCGCTCGGGACGCGCCCGGCCTTGCTCCGCTGCGTAGACTAGCTCCTGAGCGGCGGCTGTTGCCAGCACGGGCTTCGTAGATGACCCCAGGTGCTGGGCCACCACCTGAATGCTTCTCGATGCCCACTCCTGAGCCGCCGCGAGCCGCTCGTTTCCAGGGTCCCCAGCCGATGCCCGCCGCGAGCCGCGCAGCACGCGCAGCAGCCGCTCAGTCGCAGAACGAGTCACGCGTGTGCCAGGCGACACTCCAAGCTGCACGCCGAGCGCCGCCGCGGCGAGGCCGTGCCGCATCGCCGCAGTTGCCAGGCGGCGCTCGCCCGACCCCATGGCTTCGCAATTGATTCCAGGAGCGTCTCCCTCTCCACGGACGCCGCCGATGGCTGCCGCCGCCGAAGCAGTCGGCGCGGCAGCCGCGGCAGCAGCAGGGGCCGGAGGGTTGACGATTGCCAGCAGCAGGCGCAGGCCCGACTCCCAATCGTCGTAGGAATTGGGGTCCTCGAATTGGAGGGTCAAATCGGGGTCCAGGGTGAGGTGCAGGCACAGCGCCAGCGACTCGCTGCAGTATGTTTTTGATGGATTGCGAGTGATCGGGGCGGCGGCGGCGCGGTCAGCGGGCGCGCGCAAGGGGGCTGGGCGGCCCGTGGCCTCAGCTTCCAGCTGCCGCTGTCAGGAGCCCCTAGGTGCGCCAGCGCGACACTTGCTCCGCCAGCCGCGCCGGGGGACCTCTACCCTGTGTTAGTGCGCCCCCGGGCCCCGGCATCCCTCAGCACCCTTGAGAGCCGTTCTGTCCCGCCCACCCTCAAACGCACCTGTTGGCTGTAATAGAATTCACATGGTACACCAACACGTACTTGTCCCAGTCCCATCTCAGCGTCACCAGGTCACTCGACAGCTGGAAGAACCGGCGATGGCCGCTATTCGCACCAAACACGTTGCTGGCTGCCGCTTGGGCGTCGCGGAGCGCTGCAGCAAGGGGCCCCGACGAGGTGGAGGCCGCGGCGGAGCTTGTGTGTGCACGGCTTCCTGGGGGGTCGGAGCGTCTGCCGTGCGCCTTGATCTGCGGGGTGCAAAGAGGCTGGCCGATTCGGTGCGAGGAGGCTCGCGTTCGACCACGCCTCCTCACTTGTGCAACACCTGTTCAACCCTCGGTCGCCAACTGGACACGCTTGGGCACCACCAAGAAGCTAGTGACTGGCTGCTCACCAGCCACGCGCCCTGCAGCAGCGGCTGCAGCTGCTCGGGGACTCCTGTGGCGCCGCCGGCGCCACCGGCGCAGCGGAAGCTGGAGCTGCGGGACACCGGGTTTGCTGCCTCCTCTGCGAGAGCAGCTGCCTCTGGGGACCTGCCCGGTTACGCACGTGGGTGCAGCCATGGAATGCAAAGAAAGCCACTGAGTGCTGCTAATGATTTTGTCAATGGTCTGTTCCCTCCCATGCATTCACCCTTTCGCAGACTCCGTCCAGCACCACTCCCAGCAGTTGCACCCGCAGCTGGCTGTCTGATTGCACCACAGCCTCTCAAAGCGCCCCAATAGCATACCTGAGCGCAGCCAGGGCCGCCCGCATGGTCCACCAGGTTGCCAGGTGGAGGGCCGCCCACAGCACCGCCGGCACCGTCACGAAAACCGTTCGCGCAGCGAGTGCCGCGCCCCACTCTGTGGATGGATCCAATACCATGTACAGCAGAAACCCCTGCATGCACCAGCAAGGTTGGGGCGCCGCGCTTGACGGATTGTGACAGTGGGGTCAGCTGTAACTGGCAGATGAGATTGGACGGTCAGGTTTCATACACCTGACCACTCTGATTGCATCTACAGACTCGTGCCCAACAAATCTCCGCAAACTCTTCAATGGAAGCCATGTATTCATACTCACCGGCCACGCGAGTAACACCCCTAATGTGGTGGTGGCGGCCGTCTCCAGCGCCGCGCTACCTCGCGTCACAGCCAGCCGCGCCAGCACCAGCCATCCCAGCAGCAAGACAGACAGAGCTGACACCGCAAGCAGTCCAGCGGCGGGATGCGCCTCGACTGCCTCGTCGGCGCGAGGATCCAGGTCAGCAGCAGCTTGTCCACGCCATGAAGGTATCGCCAGGACTAGGCAGCTTGACACGCACACCAGGACGACACAGCAAGTCAGCCGCAGCAACATCTGAAACCTGCAGGAACGGGGCATTACTCTCAGTGCTATGGCAGCCTTGATCACGTGTTCCTGCCTGAACCTTGATGGAAGGCCTGATTCGTGCTTGTACAATGGATAACCACCACATTTGTAGGCCGTCCTCAACACAAGAGGGCCCAGGTACAAGGTGGGCAAGCCTGTCCATGCACACAGCCCGTTGTCTGCGCACCTTTGCAGTAGGAACCAGCTCGACTGCTCAAACGCGGCGTGCTTGCGGCGGGGGTCGCACGAAAGTCTGCTGTTCAGGCGCCAACCAAATGACAGCTGCGAAAGCCACGCCAGCCAGAACTTGAGGAGTGCCAGGGCGGCACAAACGGCTGAGAGGCCGGCCTTCCAGGCGCCGGGCATGGCGCCAAAAGAAACCTGGGCAGCAGTTTTTGTGGCAGCTCTTGAGGTGAGGCGCGGCAGCGGCAGCGGCAGCGGCAGCGGCAGCGGCAGCGGCAGCGGCAGCGGCAGCGGCAGCGGCAGCGGCAGCGGCAGCGGCGGCGGCAGCGGCCGCGGCAGCGACGACTGCAATAACAGGATGCAACTGACCTCAAACACGATCCAGATTATGCCCCCAGCGACGCCAAGCGCCGCCCCCGCCGCCAGCTGCTGCGCGCTCTCATGGTAGACAGCGGCAAGGGCCAGCCAGCCGGTGCAGATCTGCGCGACTGTCAATGAAACCATCGCGACCCAGTGCTCTTCTGAACACGCAGCCCAGCCACTCTGTGCATGGCCCCATGTGCATCCCTGCGGCGCATGCGCGGCGTTGCATGGGCGCCCGCCTTGTCTCATGCGGCCCACATGCAGCGCTGCCTGCGTCGCTTGCAGCATGGCCTGTGTGCTTCTGCACACGCCTGCTTCACGCGTATCGACAGGTACACGAGACCAGTACATGATGAAATGCATGCTCTTGTATGATGAGGGCTGCATGATGACGAGCATCTGCATGGTGGCAACAGTCTTCGGCTGTGCAAGGTGTGCCGCTCACCTCTGCAGCGCTCAGCGTGGTGCCCACTACCCATGCGGCTGCCTCCAGCACCACCAACAGTGCCAGCGCACGCGTTGAGTTGGGCAGCGACTGCCACAGCTGCCATGTAGAGCGCCATGGGGCCCTGGTGCGCGCATGCGCAGAGAGAGCGCCGTGCAGGCTGCCTCCGGCCTCCTCCTTGCCGAAGCAGCTGCTGCTGCTGCCGCTCATGGCAGTGCTGCCAAACTGACTGCTGCTCCGCATGCTGCCAGTATATTTTGAGCTGATGAAACCATTGCTCTGGTACGTGCAGCCTTCATTTGCCCCAAGCTGCGCTGGCTGCATGAAAACTGCTTTTGCGCTGCGCCTGGTGCTGCTCAGCTGCTGCGCGTGTGCCCGCGGCGCTGGAGCTGAGCCGCCTGGTTGCCCGCGGAGTCAGAGATGATATTCAAGTGACTCTACGTCAAGATTCGGCACATATGGACGTTCTTGTGTGCCCCGCGCTCAATGCCGCAAGCCCTCCGAAGGGTATGCTCGCTCGCTGTCCAGAATCGTAACAATTTCGAAATGAAGATAGCATGCTAAACAATAGGTTTGTGTAGCACAACGGTTTTTCGTGCTAGCTCGCCCTCCAGCAAGTTCTTTCTACAGTACCCGCCACCACGGTCACGTCCACCTGGCCAGGTCACGCTGGTGGCCCAGATCTGGAATTACAAAAAGCCTCCTCCTCGTACTTATAAGCAGCGTCGTTTAGAGCAGGGCTCTCAAAGTTTGGTCACGACTTTGTGTGGTCTGACGCGGCTCCTTGTTGGATGGTCGGCACGTGATTCAGGCTTGTTCAAGGCAGCTCGAACTATCAATGCTCAGTTCACATCACAGGGCCGGGCCACTGCAAGCAACGGCCGTGGTTGCTCCTGCTTAGTTGTTTACGGACGCCGGAGCTCGCTCGGTTTTCCAGCTTCATTTCGCCACACACCACGACATTGCACTGACGGCGTCCGGCGGTGCTGCCGCGACAGCGGCAGCAGCGCTCCCTAGGCGGGCGCTACGCACAATGCTGCGCATGCACCAGTCCCGGGGCGCCAGCAGCGCTCTGCTTGGCGTCATCGCACTAGGTGAGTGCAGTCGCTGCTGCTAATTTTAGCCTTGTTGGCTCCACAGGCACATCGGCCGCCTGCATGCCTGGAAACCAGGGGCGCCCGCCCGCACCTGCCCGGCCTTCTGTGGAGGCCGAGGGAAGCTGTCTGAGCCAAAGTGACAGCTATCCGCTCGCACCAAACCAACGCACGCACGCCACCTCGATTGCACCACCTCGATTGCTTCTAGCCTGCCTGGCGGCGTCGATGCCCGCGGCTGCCGCGCACTTCTTGGATGGTGGCGATCATGCGCACAGCTTGGAAGCCGTGGGCGACCAGCAGCAGCTGCCTGCCCGCACACCCGCGGCGGTGCCCTGCGGCCACCAGCTCGTCTCCGAGGAGTCTCACCGGTGGTCCGAGGCACACAGCCGCTGGCGCGCCGCGCAGGAGGCCGCCTCGAAGGACACCGGGCCCGACGCGGCGTCGGCGCTGGAGCCAGCGCCCACAGCCGCCGCTGATGCTGATGCAGACGCAGATGCGGGCGCAGACGCGGACGCGGACACGGCGTCTGCGTCGCCACCGCGAGGCGTGACGCCGCGGGCCCTCGCGGAGAAGGTGTCCCCCGGCAGCGGCCCGCTGCGCATCTGGGTCGAGTACCAGGGCATTACCAACCTGGAGCAGGAAGTCGCCCAGAAGCTCCGCGACACCATCAACATCGCCCTGGGGGTCCTCCAAAAGTACTTCCGTGTGCGGAGGCCGGCCGCCGACATCCTACTGGCGCCGGCCCTTTGTGTGATCTTTGACAGCGCCGGTTACTGCAACCAGTTCCAACCTGACCTGGTCAACGGCGGCGGCGGCAACAGCGGCGCGCGCAAGCTAGGGAGCTGCGGGTTGGCGACGATCAATGGCAGCCACATCGCGCCGTACAGGCAGTGCACGCTCGGCGGTGGCAGCTGCGTCGAATGGAAGGGTGCGTTTGCGCGGGGGCTGGGCTGCAACTGGGGTTTTGGAGGTCGTGTTGGCGGCGGGGCCCGACGCGGCGCCCGAGAGTGTTGTTTGCGCTCCCCTGCAAACCCCAGCAAGCTGCTCACGCCTGGTGCGAGTTTTCCTTCGCTGTCGTTCTCAAGTCTTCATACAGCAAAGGGCCTTTCACCACCAATGAAACGGGCTCCCCTCTCCCTGGACGGCTCCTCCTCAACCGGCCCCCACCAGGCGGCAGCGGCGAGCACACCGACTACTACCTGTACATCACGGCGATGCAGGACGACCACTGCGACAGCGGCGCCGTCGCGTGGGCGCTGCCCTGCCTCTACGACACGACCACCAACCGGCCCCTCCTGGTGCGCCTGGCAAGCGCGCGCGCCAGGTTGCGGGCCCTCACGGCGGCGCTGCTCTCTCTGTGCCGCTGGTCCCCTGGCTGCTCACCCTATGGTTCAGAGCGGCGCTTGGGACGCACATGTGTTTCCCCGCCCTGCAACGGCCTCGCGTGGCACCCCACATGGCGGAACCCTGAAGCTTCGCGCACCTCCATCGACAGGGCTCCGCCAACATTTGCCCCAACAACCTGGCTGGCGCCGACCCCGAGGCGGCCGTGTCTGTCCTGGTGCACGAGCTAATGCACGCCCTGGGGTTCACGGACGACGCGCTCGACAAGTTCGTGGACGCTTCGGGGGCGCCGGTGCCGAAGGACCAGGTCGTGCGGGAGTTTACGGACGTGTATGGAAAGTGAGTGGCGGGCGCCGCCAGTGTGTTCGTGCGTGTGCGTGTGTGTCTGTGTGTGTGTGTGTGTGTGAGATGGTGTGTACGTGTGTGGTTGTGTGCTTGTGTGTGTGGGTGTGCCCGCGCGCAGGCACGCATGCCCATGCATGCCTGATTTTGTGGTCCTTGCTCGCCCCGGTGTGCATGTTGGACTCTGTCTTGCCCATCTTGCCTATCTCTTCCCTGGTCTTACAGATGAAAGTCACGACCTTCTTGTGATCATCCCCACCCGCCAAACCCCCACACCGCGCCCAACTCTGCTTTCAAAACCCCTGAACCAAACAGGCGCACGAGCATGATCATCAGCCCCACCGTGGTCAAGGAGACCCGCGCCCAGTTTGGCTGCGCCACGCTCCAGGGGGCGGCCCTGGAGAACGAGGGCGGCCAGGGCAGCGCCAACGCGCACTGGGAGTACCGCTGGTTCCAGGGCGAGCTGATGGTCGCGACTAATCTGTTCGCGGTGAGAGCTCGGGCTTTGGCTATGCGCGACATCGCAGACCACGTTTATCTTGCTGTTGATCCTTCCTTCACCTGGCTTTGCAATAATCACATAAAAAGTCATGTCATCAATGTGAGAGCATCCGGACACTTTTTTCGACTTCCAATGAGTAAGGTGGCTGTTTCTTGCTCATGAATAGGGAATGACGCGAAGCTACCCCTCAACTCCCGGTGACGTCACTAGGTGTACGGCAAGCCGGCCACCATGAGCCGCATCACCCTGGCGTACATGCAAGACACCGGGTGGTACGACGTCAACTGGGACCAGGCCGGCTTCCTGGACTGGGGCTTCAAGGTGCGAAGCCCGGACTGCCTGCGCAGTCCAAGGGGCTGTGCAGAGGCCCGTCGGCCAGCCGCCTGGCAAGCTTGGTGCCTAAAGTGCCATGGGTTTCAGTTCTGCAATCTCGTGCAGTGCCCTCCTCTCCTTGCTGCCGTGATGTCACTCCCCGTCGTCCTCCTCTCCTGCCCTGATCCCCACCCCTGCTTTCCAGGCGGGCTGCGATTTTGTCATGGACACATGTGACGCCTACATCAAGGCCCACCCAGAGCAGGTGCAGCGCACCGGACGGGCCGTTCCTGTAGTAGTGATTACCGCCAATCAGCTGCCCCAGCCCTGCCGCCAAACCTCCGCTAACTCCAATCGCCCTGCTTCTTATCATGCTTTGGTGGCACCACACTAACTAGCTTACCTGCTCAGCTCTGCATCGACTGCCTCTCCGGCTTGTGGCGTGAGATGTTTCAATCATAAATGGACAAGAGTCTTCAAAGATGCCGCCATCCCTGCAACCGTCGCCGCACCCACAGAAATACTTCTGCACCAAGCAGGACTGGCAGATGACCACCAACAGCGTCTGCACGTTCGACGGGCTGGCCAGGGCGAAGTGCGAGGACGCCCAATTTGCAGACGGCTGCATCATGAAGGTGGGGGGTGGGGGTGGGGGTTGAGGGGTGAATCATGTAGGTAGGGGGGGGAGGGTTGAGGGGTGAATCATGTAGGTAGGGG